ATAAAGAAACCTGTGCATTGCTCTGAGCTGGCTGCTCCCAGTGCATTGGCATCCCATTTCTGTACAGTCGGTGAGATTTCTTTTGACAAGGAAGGGGAAGAGCAAGTCCCATATTTGGCACCTGTCAAAATGGGCATAGAGTAAAAGGAGGCCCTTGCCTTTTCACACTTGCAAGCTCTCCATGGCTTCCCATCCTACTCTGAAAAAATCCGAATATCTTAAATGCTGCCCACAAGACTCTGAGAGATCTGGCCCTGCCCTGTCTCTCTGCCATCCACTCACTGAGTGAAGCCCTACTGTCTCCTTTTTGCTTCTCAAACCAGCAGAGCTTCATTTGCATTGATGTTCTTATAGTTCAAATATGGTGTAAGTGTTGCTGTCATCTGAATGTTTGTGTCCTAAAACTCATATGTGGAAACTGAATGACCCCTGTGATCATACAGTATTAAAAACTGGGGCTTTTGGACGGTGATTAGGTCATGAGGACCCCACCCCGATGAATGGGATTAGTGCCAGAGGGAGTCTATTGACTGCTTCCACCATGTGGGAACCCATAGAAGACACCATCTATGAAGAATGGACCCTCACCATACATCGAATCAATGATCTTGGACTTCCAGTCTCCATAGTCTGAGCAATAAATTTCTGTTGCTTATAAATTACCTTATCTAAGGAATTTTATTATAGCTGCATGAACAGACCAAGACAAGTGTGAGACACTTGTAGTTCCCTGTGCTAAGAGCACCCTTCTCATCTCCACCCCCACCCTGTTTCCTCCTTGTCCTTTAATCACCAAGGAGAGTTAGGAGGGCCCTACCTGAGCAAGGGTCAGGGAAGGCCTCCCAGTCCCTAACTCTTTACTTCTCGGTAGTTGAACCGAAAATCGCCATTGCCTATTTTAGTGCCTCTCATGGGCCCTGACACCTCTCATCTGTGCCTGTTCATGCATAGTACAGTGTTCTTTGAAGGCTGGGCCTTAACTGTCCTGTTCACTGCATGGAATGCAGTGGATGGCAGAGCACCTGGCGCTTGGTAGCAACTCAATAAATATTTGTGGAGTGGATGAATGAATAAGTCTGCTGATTTGAATTTAACCAAGGCTCAAATTGCAAAGGAGCAAATACAAGAATCTTCAAATGCCCCCCCCCATTGTTCTCCTTCCACCAACCCATCTTGCTTCCACTCCTCCCTTTCTTCCCTTCCCCTCTCCTCCCTTATCTACCCCTCTTCTCTCTCCTTACTTTCCTTCCTTCCTTCCTTCCTTCCTTCTCAGAAGTTTATTCATACCTACTCTAAGCCAGCCTTAGGCCAGGTGCTATGTGCTGGGATTACTTTCCTACCCACTGCTCCCCAGGGTATTCCCAGTGCCCTGACTTTGTACAGGAGTCCAGTCTTTCCCTGGCCCCTTCTAGTCACATCCCTTGTGCAGTCAGCCACAGGCACCTTGCTCTGCACCTTCGCTGTGACTGAACCCTGAGCTCAGGATACCCTGGGAAGGAGGAATGAAGGTGTCTCCAAGGTCCCAGTTTTGGTCATACATCTGCTATCCAAACTGTCCTGCTGGAAGCCCAGCCTCTCAAGCTTCTCTACAGTAAGTTTTTCATAAAATGAATGGTGACAACTGCAGTCTTCTCAGGCACTTTGTTTGAGTCCCAGGAGATTTATTATCTGGTTATGATCCTGCACTGCTTCCTTGCTTCCTCGGGGCTTCAGATTCAAACAAACATTAGGCTCTCAAGATCCCCTCAAGTTTGAAACCTCTAATCTCTAGAACATGGATCTACCCATGTTTGGTTTGGTAGTAGCCAGGATGAGTTCAACATCATCTTCTATGGGCTCTTCACCCAGTGATGACAGAATGTGCTCAATTCTGTCGCTCCAAGGAGGTGGCTGTAGGTATGGGAGCTGTACAGGAGTAGCCTGCTTCCCAATAAAGCCCATGGCATGAGCTGTGAGCTTGGGTTTCTCATACTTTAGACCAGAACATGGTGGGTGACAGTGGGTAGAGATTGAACTCCTTTCCCTGTGCTGTCAATGACTAGTATGTCTTCAGAGATGTGATCATGAATTAGAGTGGGTATGAGGTATACTGGGGAGAGCATAAGAAGGGGGCAAAGAGCAGTGTCCCTAGGGAGCCCAGCAAAGGGACAGTTGCTCCCCTAGGATAGAGGGCTGTGGTTGAGCCCAAAATAGATCTGCTGGCCTTATGACCCCAGGGTCGGAGAGGAAGCCCTGCAGCATTTTCCATGGTGCTGGTCTGGTCTCCCTGCCTTCTCCCAGGGCTGCCACATGGTCAAAGCATCCATCTTGGGCTCTCCAGCCAGCTTAGAAGCAAAGTTAAATCTACACTGTCCTTCCACCTGCTGACATTCCTGAGTCTAGTGGGCTGGGTGGAGGCAGCAGGATGCAGGGCAGGGCTGCTACTGGCTGGGATTCCCCCAGCTCCCCACAGTGGGAAGGAGGCTACAGCAGAATCTCAAGGCAAGTACAGCCTCTGCCTCACAGTCAACAGCTTCCCTTGCACCTGGGGAGGAAGTGCTAATGAGGAGAGCATGGGAAGTGCTGTGCCTGCCTGCCTTTGGTTGTCACAGTTTGCTCCTGTTGGCTCATGCCTTCTTGAGGGTAGGTTGTGAATGCTAATATAGAATGCACATCAACAGAAAGTGCAAGCATTTCTAAACCAAACACCCTGAGAGGGGTGCAGCTGTTGCAGATCTTCAGCCTGATGACAGCACCCTACCCCAATGTCAAGTTAGTACTGTGGACCACACAGGCATGAAGGCTGAGATATGCCCCTTCCACAGAGAGGTCTCTGTGTAGGACACAGTTTGGGCCCAGTCCCTCCAAAGCCTTCTGCCTGTGCACCAAGTTACAAAGCAAAGCCCTTCCTGATTGCTTCCCATGGAAGGAAGAGGTGCTGTACCCATCCCCCCTGGGCATACCGAGGGGGTAACTATCCCCCTCAGTGAAGCAAGGCAGGGGAACGGCCTTTCTCAAGTTCAGCCTTTTTCCCAAGAGCAATAGAGAAAAATTTTCTTGTCACAATGGACCCAGAATACAATGCAGATGCCTTTCCTCAGACCCCCATCTGGCATTGTTGTCCCATCCTCTGGGTCAGAAGAAGAGAGACTCTGGAATCCTCTATCCAGGAACCAGGTTCGGATTTGGGAAGAAGGATGTAGCAATCATCCATGACGTCCAAAGCAGCTTGTGTGACGGGCCAGTCATAACCTAGCAGGGATGTGAAAAAAGAACAAAAAAACATTCCCTGCCTAGGAGGCACTGTGTGCAGAAGATGACATGTGGGAAAGGTAGCTAACAGTAAATGAAGGTCGTGCATTCAAAGTCCTGAAAGCCAGGTGGGTCCTTGTGGCCAAAGCTTGATTAACCACTAGTTTTTGTTTTGCTAAGGGGAAGTGGTGAAGGAGGAGACTGGAACCCACAGGGAGAAGGAGAAGGAAAAGTTCAAAGAGAGAGAGAGAGAGAGAGGGAGGGAGGGAAGGGAAGGTGTGGGAGCTCTGGGAGAGGGAAAAGTTGGGGAAACACAGAGATATTTAGATGGGACTAAACATCTCACAAAACTTTCATAAAATCTACATGACTGTCCACAACATTTGCCCTCAAGAGAGTTGCTTGGGGTTTCTTCTCTCCAAAACTTTTTAATAAATGAAGCATCCTTAGGCATAGGTTGGACTTTAAAGCACTCATACCCATGAGTATTGAGCTATGTAGTGGGGTCCAGTGCAAAACAAAAATGTGGGATTCTTTGTTTGAAAGCAGGAAAAGGTGCCAGTCAAAGGACTCAGGTACAAAGCTCTTTTCTGTCTGAAGTCTCTCTACTTTATTTGGTGCTATTTAATGTCATCCTTAGTTTAAAAAAATAACATTTTCATTACCAGCATGGATTTTACCATTCATTTTTATATTGTGTAGTGTCCATAGGCAAAATCACTGAAATTACACAATCTTTTTTGGCTAGAACAGGTGAGCCTAAGTAACACCTGCCCCACCCCGAGACATTGAACTATCTAAGAGAGCACTCTGCCAGTCACAGGGATACTTTTCAGGCCCAATGCAGACCTTCCTAAGCTCCTGAAGGTAGGACCAGCAAGTTTGTCAACTTCTGGGTTGCCCTTCCCACCAGCCTCCTATGCACTGTGTCTAGCTGAGGGCAGGGATGGCCACAGAGCATGCACTCTCCACATTGACCTTCCCTGCATACATACCAGGCTTTGCCAGGGATAGAGGGTGGCACCTTTCACAGGTGAGGTAGGGTAAGGCTAGGCCTTGGAGTTCAAGAGGCCTGGGAAGGTAGGTGGCCAACAATCTGTCTTGAGGAGTGGGTAGGCTTTAGGAGTAGGTAGCATGCGTGAGCTGATGTTCCAGACCTGTGGCACATGCTCAAAATGTTCCATTGGGTTTTACTTATAAAACACAACTCCAAAGATAAAATCAGGAATTTCACGGCAGTGACTACAAAGCATTATACTACAAGTGCTGGGCCCTTCTGGGCATGGAGCCCTGTGTGACTGGCCATAAGCCCTTAAAGTTGTTCCTGTACACGAGGAAGACCTCTAGATTTCATTAAATAACTTAAGTGCAAGTACTGGAGTGGAAGAAAAGAAGGAAAACACACTCCACATGCATATTGAAAAAACAGAGCATGCAGGGTCAAGGACACAATTCACATCTCACCTAAGGCATTTCCAGACATTTCCACACCCCTCATCTCCGGACTGCAGAATGATCCAGAAGCTGTTGTACGTGTCCATGCGCCAGTAAACTGGAATTTGATTTCTGAGCATTATTTTGATCTTTAATATGCAGTTAACAACATACAATGCTTGTAGCTACTCAAAGCTAAAACTTTTTTTTCCATGAAAGAACATAGGACAATATCAGAGCTTTCAAAGAAGAGGAAACCTTACTCGTTTTCTTTGCCCAAATAACTTAGACTTTTATGACTTAGCTGTTCAACCTGAGCTGCTTTTTCCAGAGTCTTATACAAAGAACTTTCTGTTGGGATTAGCTCCAAACAAAGCCCTTCGTATTTCTGGTAGCTTTTGCTGGGCTAGGAGATCTAGCCGACTTTCCAGGGTATTAGAAACCTTTATTCTCTGATTGCTGCTGAAGACCTCCACACCTCCAACTGAATTCACAGGCAGGTGTACCTCTTGATCAATCTTGACATCCACTTGTTTCTGGGAAACTATCCTGTACTGAGGGATGGCTTTCTGCACCGAAGCCTCTACCAAGAGGATGTCCAATCATCACGGGCTCCAGCAGTCGGAGCAGAGCCTGGAGCACTAGCTTATTCAGCATTCCCTGGTATGTTTTGGGGTCCGCCACAATTCTACTGAGTTTCAACTTCGCTTCATTGAGCAACTCTGAGATGAGGTCATCGCGGGCTGTCAGGACTTTCAGCCTGGCCTGGTTCCTCATGGTGGACATCTGAATTTTCTTCTGCTGCTCAATCTGCTTTTCCTTCTTCTCATAATAATCCATGATCTTCAGTCGTTGGGTTTGCACAAGATGTCCTTTTTCAATGTTGAATTCTTCTTCAGACTTGGCATCTATTTCTTCTGCCTTTTCATTGGCTTCCTGCTCAATGAAAGCCATCATGTGTTTTATCTGCTTCTGTACGTCGACATCGCTCAAGGCCATGGCGGCTCTCGTAAAGGCAGGTGGAGGTGGAGGGCTGTTGGTCTTTGTGGTTTCTTTAATTTCAGGCAGTTTCAGGAGTGTCCCTGAAGTTCCACTTCCTCACTGTGGAGTACACAAAAGGAGGAAAGAGAAAGTCTAAAGGAAAGGATCATTTCTACAGCCCTCATTTTACAGAGGAGGAAACTGAGGACCAGAGAGGGAAAGCAATTTGTTAGAGGTTGGACCCCCTAGAAGAACAGAGGCTTCAGCCTTTGTTCCATCCCTCATACAACTCATTGTCTTTTTGTCATCTAATAACAATAGAGAGTCAGGGTAGATCTAGTCCAGAAGTTCTCAGGCCTAAGACTCAGATAGGAAGCCTATGGAATGGAAATACCAAATTATATACATGGAGTGGTGGGGATTAGGGGGAAGCACAAGAAACTGGTCAGACAAGGTGCAATACAGGCAAGCTGCTTGGAGACAGAGGGTTTCAAGAACGTTCAAATGATGCAAAGACATAGATTGCTGTTAGGTGGATAATGCCACTTTGGACAGAGCTGGGAGGGCATAAAAGTAGTCTTCACTGGGAACAGTTTCCAAGCCTCTCTATACCTTTGAATCATCTGGAGAACCTTTAAGACATAGAGTTTTACAGGTCCTGCTCCACAACTGCTGTTGGCAGAAGCTCTGTCAGTACCATCTGGGAATCTGTATCTTAAAAACACATTCTCAGAGAGGGCATGGTGGTGTACATCTATAATCCCAGCTACTCAGAAGGTGAAGCAAAGGATCATGAGTTGAAGGTCAACCCTAGGTAAAGTTAGTCAAACCCTGTCTCAGAAACAAAATAAAAACAAAAGGACTAGGGTCGTAGCTCAAGTGGTAGAGCATTTGCTTACCCTGGGTTCAATCCCCAGTATTCCTCTCCCCAGAAGAAAAGACTCAGACTGGTGGTATGTCTAACATGAGAAAGACCCTGGGTTTGATCCCCAGCATTGCACACTGTCAAAAAGAACACCATTTAGCCGATCTCCTCACATTATTTCATGATGTACTTTTAAACAAAACCATATTTTTGTAAATACAGTGAAACTTTCTTTGCTTCTACACAAGTCAATTAAATGTTTTTGTTTTGTTTAAAAAAAAAAAAGGCTTCCCCTGTGACCCTGCTAGTCACCAGTTTGGGGAGCCACTCTGAGTGAACACAGAGGTGGACCAAATCCTGGTTATGTGTGCCTGGAGGAAAGAATATACCAGGCGAACTCTTACCAGTCCCCTGCCAAAGGCCACCTTTCCGCTGGCGCCAGGAGTCTGCACATAGAATGTGGAACTTGGAACACACGCTGGAACCTGGCACTGTCACCTCCTTCTTTGTACAGGCCACACAGCCTGAGTCCACAGAGCCAGGCTGTCACTGGGGATGGCTGGCAATGCCTGCCAGGAGGAGGCCAAAAGGGATTTCCTTGGCACCAGGGCTATGGCTGGAGCTTAGCCTTGCACACTCAGAATCTCAATGACGTTGGCACACGGTGGGCTCCACTCTGGAGTGGGCCTGACCTGAGAGATTTGTGTGGAGACCTGGGCAGTCACTTTATCAATTTTCTAATGAAAAATGCAGCTGTCGTGCTGGCAGTACATGGGCCTCCTTTCCCTGAATGTAAGGCGCCTGGACAGCCAAATCCGAAGGTTGTCTAATGAGAAAGCAGCACAATTCACAATTCACCAGATGGTCCTTAGAGGAGCCACTCCTGCCACAGGGGTGTCATGCTCCTGCCCACAAAGGAGGTGCCTCTCCACACCCAGACAGGCGTAAGTGGCATCGCCTGCTTCTACTCTGCAGGCTCTGCAGTCACACTGCCAGAATGCCCTGCTCTGCACTGACCATTTGTGTGACTTTGGCAAAGAAGCTTGATCCTCAAAGTCTCCGTTTCCTCAGGACTGATTTGATTTCCACTCACTAAAGTGGAACCACATTCTAGTCTTTATTAGACTTAGCAGCCCTATCTGGAGTTCAGGGAACCCCTCCTCCCCCAATGTGTCATGGCACTCTTGCCTGTAGTCTCAGGCACAGCCACACCCTTGGTGATGGTGGGCAAATTTCCTGAATTCCAGAGCTTTTGGCTGAGGGTAGAATGGAGTCATCTCATGGCCTGTCATAGATCCCTGATTCTGCAGTTACTCCCTGCACCCCTCCTTTTAAACAGCATATTAGTGTCAGGTTGGACGCAGCCGCAGGGTGGAGCAGGTTAAAAGTCAGAGCTCCAGCAAATGTCTCTCTCTTTGCAGGAATGTGGGTGACTGTGTAATGTGTCTGGCAGATGCAACTTCCAGGCTGTCTGGGATGGGGATTATGAGTCCACATGGGCCCGTGGCTTGAACAAAAACACAAAACAAACCAAGAAACACACTGTCTTCTCTCTATGAGAGCTCAGATCCCTCCACTCTTACTGAGGCAGGCTGGCCTGAAAGTAGCATCTGTGTTGCCTGTGACGGGCTGGAGCAACAGGAGGGCCCTCCAAACCAGACTTACTTCTCATCATCTATGAAGTCCGAGGGCCTCTTCTTTGTGTCCCCAAATGCAGCAGCTCAGTCCCACTTAACAACTTTTGCTCACCCTGTTCCTCCCCCACCAAAATGTCCTGCTTTGCTGTGTTCTATCCTTAGTTTCAGGCCCAGTTTAAGTCCCATCACTTCTTGGGCCTCTAGACTCCTCAAAATTGTGATAGCATGGCCCATTTTCCAGATACAATTCAGAACTGGATCCAGTGTCCTTTGTCATTCCAAGTATTTTTGCTTTCTCCAAGGAATGCCTTGAGAACAGGATCTCCTTCTACAGAAGGGGCTGGTGCAGATAGGTCCTCCTTTTTTCCTTTTGTTGACTTTTAAATTGTAAGATGCAATACACATTCAGAAAAGTGCACAGAATGCCGTAGTGAATTATTATGAGGCAAACGTGCTGTAACTTCCACCCACGTCAAGAAAGAGAGTACTGCCCACACTCCCAGAAGCCCCTCCCTATGACCTTGGAGGAGACATTCACAAGTGTTGATTGGATGTAGGGGAGTCCCTACAGGAAGCGTGAGCTTGGAGATCTCTGTTTTCTTTGGGCCTTCACCTATGTGAGGCTGTGTGCACGCCAGGGAAGTACAGAATCCTGGCTCTATGGGAGGCAAGAGGAGGAGGAGGCTGGAGTGCTTGGTAAGCAAAATGTGTCTGCTGGCCAGGAGCCCTGCTCAGACCCTGAAGCAACTGTCCTTCATTCTAGTTGGGTTAGTAAGCAAGTCTGAGGGTCCGATGTGTCTGGTGTGGTCTCCCCACCCCTTGCCAAAAGGGAAGCAGCATCAGACTCAGGACTCCAGACACTTTAGGGATTGCTGAGTGAGAAAGGGAAGGGGCTTTCCAGAGCTTGGAGTACAGCGCAATGCATAGAACCCAGGAAGAAGGTGAAGAAATTCAGGAAATGCTTTTGGGGCTTTCAAATATTAAGTATGTGTGGAAAGGACATCCCCTTTTCTGTCTTTCAACAAATATTCTTTACACCATGTGTCTGGTATTATGTATGCAACAGAGAAAGAGTAGTGAACAAGGAGGAAGCCAGCTGGTCCCTATGCCTACAATTGTGATAGGAGAGAGGATTCCGTAAGCAGGTGATCACATCACAGCCTGGTGAGTTAGTAGTCAGCAATTTCAAGAAAGCTAAATGAATGAAGAGAGCCAGTCCTGAAGCCCCTTCCCAAACTCATCATAGGCTCTTTTATAATGTATCTGAAGACAGTTCAATCCTGCAGTGGATGGTTTGCAAAGTCCTATTGGTGGCAATAAAACACCAATGAGGAAGCACAAGAATGAAGATGACTAAAAGGATATACAGCAATTTGGGAAACTCAGATGAGAAAATGAGTTTTCAGGGGCACCCAATGTAGTACCTTAACTTGAGGAAGTCACCGGGTAAAGGCAGAAAGTAGGTGGTATTCTCTAAGAAGAATTTATTGAAATAGACAAGGATGGATCAAGTCTTTAAGGGAGACCTAAGCAATGCCTTGGGGTTTCCAGAGAGGGCCTAGTTTAGACATGTGGACAGGTATGAGTCACTCAAAATGGGATGGGTAAAGGGCAGAGAAGGGCACAGGTGCAGTGTTTGCAAGTTCCAGCTAATGGAGTGAGTGGTCCTGTGGTTAGGGGTCAGTTGAGGAGAGGGGAGTAAAAATGGGCATTGCAGATGGACATTCCCATAAGCAGAAAGAGAGACTAAAGCAGCAAAGTAGGGAGACTGCTGTGGGAAAATCATGAAGGTGGGAAGGTGTGGGAGGGCTGGGTGCACATGGGTTTGGTGGCAGCCAACAACCTGCAATAGGCAATGCCTAGAAAAATGTTGGGGTTCAACTGGCAATGTGCGACTGAGAGTTGGGGGATTAGGCAAAAGGGCGCATTGAAGGCTTCACAGCAGGGCTGTAACCTGGCCAAACCTGGGTTAAGTAAGATTCAACTGGTGGAGGCAGAGGCAGGAAAGGCCAATTATAAACCAGACAGAGACTGCAAGGATAAGGCCTGGGATAAGTGACAAGGTGTTGGGAATGAAGGAGACGTGGCACAAGAGCCAAGAGGTTTGATGATTGAGGTTCTGGCCTTCACAGGGGACAGCAGTGGGGATCAGGATGAGGATGTTGGAAAGAAGGATCCAGGTACCTTGCTTTTCAGAAAGAAGCTAGGGCAGAGAGTTGTTCATTTGGCTGAGAAGTGGAGGTGATGCCTAGGGAGAAAATCTTTTTTTTATTATTTCTTTTATTCATATGTACATAAAATGTTTGGGTCATTTCTCCCCCTTCCCCATACCCCTTCCCTTTACCTCCACCCCCTCCCCTCTCTCCCCTATCCCCTTGCTACCAGGCAGAAACTATTTTGCCCTTATCTCTAACTTTGTTGAAAAGAGAGTATAAACAATAATAGAAGGACCAAGGGTTTTTGCTAGTTGAGATAAGGATAGCTATACAGGAGTTTACTCACATTGCTTTCCTGTA